TAATAAATACTGCAGATAATCACACACAGCAAGAAAACAAATGACTTCTAGAAGAGAGATGGAAAAAGAACTAAATGATGCAGAAATAATGAGTAAAAAGGGTTTTTATTGTCCCTTTAGCTCAGAGACTGAAGAACGGAGGTAGAGGTGGAGACTGAGATACAGGACCAGCCCTAACTCACTCTGACTTTACACAGGATACCTACACACACTCACACTAGTTATTTTGATTGAATCTTTCTATTTTATATATATTTTTCTATGACTTCAACATCATTGGAAATTTACTTTTGGGGGTCGAGTCGAATATTTGATCGAATTTCACTTCATATGTTGGAAAATTGGACAAAATTGGTTATTTATGTCTAATTATTCTTTACACCAACTTACACTAGTTATTGTGATTCATTTTTATATTTTATATATATTTTTTCTATGATTTTGACGTATGTTTGAAATGTCCTTCGGGTGTCGAGTCGAATATTTGATCAAATTTCACTTCAGATGTTGGCAAATTTGCATGTTTAGGCCTCAGAATAGAGGTTCTGCTGTATATTTGGATTAATAAGGATAAAACTTTCTGTGGATCTTCTGCTGACTTAATCAAAGCAAACCAGGAAGGAACACGCTAATCTTACCTAGAATAAATAAACTCTCCCAGTTTGACTTCTCTAACGTAAACTGGGCTGTAAATGAAAATGTTTTTGTGACCTTTAAAGCCTCTAAAGTCTCCGGTTGTTGTTACAGGGCTGCTGGTTACAGACTTCCATGTTTATTTAGTTTAAATTAGCAGTATTTTCGTGACCTGTGAAGGTTTGGACAGGCCTTATCTCAGGTGTTTGGATAGAGATAAACTAAAAGTTTCAGACGTCATTATTTCCATACAGAAACACAGGAGAGACACTCATTTATCTCCGATCACAGAGGAAATTATCTGATGATCAGTGATTATACAGCAAAAAAACACACAAAAAAACAGATTTTCTCGGTTTTAACCTCCGAATTGTTTTCATTTCTCAGAAAAATTGCAGTTTGACTGATTAAGCTGGCTGAAATCTCAAAAACAATCAGAAATTGAGGGGAAATTGACAGCCAATGTTTATGATCATTGTTTGGGTTCATCAATAGCTACAAAAGACTGATTATACAGCAAAAAAACACACAAAATAACTGATTTTCTCGGTTTTAACCTCCGAATTGTTTTCATTTTTCAGAAAAATTGCAGTTTGACTAATTAAGCTGGCTGAAATCTCAAAAACAATCAGAAATTAAGTGGAAATTGACACGAGGATCCAATGTTTGATGGAGTTTTGGGTTCATCAATAGCGAGAAAAGACTGATTATACAGCAAAAAACACACAAAATAACAGATTTTCTCGG